ACACACACACACACACACACACACACACACACACACACACATATATGACAATGTTGTTGCATGATCCAAACCTGTAAGCATTCATTTAATGAATCCAACATGCTTGCACAAATCTCCGTGTCAGGTTCCTGCAAAACAAAGAGATGGGAAAATCTTAGCAAGGAAACGTCAAGGAATAGATAAGTCAGGCAAAGCTCACCACAAATATAATCTACACAAACCTTGGTCCTCAAACTCAAGCCACAACTGAGTCACATAAACTACTCACAAACGTTTACTTGAATATTTAAAACTATGAACATTTTTTTAATTTCAAATCAAATAAAAAAGATATCCACTTCTAAAAAGCACACATAAATTCCAAAATAACACAACTAAGAATGGATAAACCTTGGATAACAATTTACCTTGTGCAATGCTTCCACCAGAGCAGGGATTACACTATCAGTCAAAAATTTCAAATAGGATAAATCTCGACCTTGAGATTGCCCCTTCTCTATAGCTAACTTTGCAGATCGCAATAGCTCCGGCATTGCTGTAGTGTTGATGGAAATTATAACAATTAAACAGTTACGGTAATGATTATAAATCCCTTTAACTGTGTAAGGAAAAATTAATGGTGAAAAAATCATACACAAGAACAATAATTTTTTATACCTGAAACAGCTGCCTTCCTGACCTCCTCATGGAAATAAAATTTAAGGAGTGGAACTAAAATTCCAGCGACCTGTATATCATTCAAATTATTAACATGGGAAAATATGTAAAAAGACACAGTAAGAAATCTCAATGCCTAAAGGGATTCAAAGTAACATTCTAACCTGATCAATCCATGGAAAGAATCCTTCCTTCAGCTCATCAGCATAGCAACAAAGCATGTTACACGCTGTAGCTTTCTCCTCTAAAACACTAGTCTTGATCCCAATTCGCTTGTCCCCAAGAGTAATAGTTTCCATACTACAATGGATAAACAAAAGTTGGTTTGAATCATTCATCCTAAACAAAAAATGTATTGATGCGCAGTTCTGATTCTCCAGTAGAATAAAATTGTTATTAGAAAATGAGAATGTGCATTAGGATTTTGTAGATATTAGTTTTATGTGGTCATGGTGGTGACGGTGATCATAATAAAAAAGACTAGAGTAAAGTAATATGTGTGCCTTAACGTTTAAGGCTTAAACTATTGGTGAACAGAACCAAAATGACAAGAAGTGCAGTAGATTCGAGCATTATCAAAGAAAGACTAAAATTCATAATTGAGAAGGACTAAAATTGAGACCTTTCATCGTCAGAATCATCAATATCATTGTCTGAATCAGCTGATGTAATGGTTACATCGGGCTTAAGTGAAGCAGATTTAAGCAATGGAGGCATAACAAACTCCATGTAAGGAAGAAAATCTTGTCCTAGACATTTGCAGAGTCTAGCCCATGCCTGGAACAAATTAAAGTCATTAGACTAAAATTCCGATAGGCATTCATGCATATGCTATATAAATAATAACAGAAAACATACCTGTAGCATGTAACTTGTTGTTGGATCATCAGTCTCCAGTTGAGATACTTGAAGGGACATGAGAACTTCCATAACCTTTAGCGCATATAAATATTAAAATCATGAGATCTAGCTGAACATATAGAGAAGGAAGTGTTTAAAGAAGTTTCAGAAGCACCTAACTCAACTATTTTTCCAAATAATGATAAGCAGTATAAAATGTGAATATACAATACCAACCATACATTCTTGCAAATCAAAAAATAAAGTACCAAGAAACACCTACCTGCTTAGCATCTGCCCTAAACTTCTCCTTCCCAACAGCCATTCCAACCAAACTGATACACTCCATGGACTTAGCACGAAGCATCCGGTTAGATTTGTCAGTCGCATTAATCAATATAGCCTTGAGATAAGGCATTACAGCATCGTAATATTTTTGGAAGTGTTCCTAAGAAAGACCATGGTATTAAATGAGCAATCCAAAGAAAAGTAATAATTATAAATGTCGATTGAATAAAGAAGTTCCCAAAGTACCTGAGAAGAATCAGCAACTGATGCCAAAGCAGTTAAGGCACCTTCTTGAACCATCTGCTTACCGTTCTGAAACGTTTGTAGAGAATATCCAAAATTAAGGAAAAATTCAATTATATAATTCAGTAAAATGACCATAATAGCATTAACATACCTGAAGAAGTACAAGCAGTTTGCTGACAATTCCATCTAAATATGGCGTTAAAATATCAGGTGTGCAGTTCTCACTGAAGTTGAGAACTGCAGAAGCAGCATGTGCCTGTGTAAACAATATTTTGAGAATAATTACACTATGAAGCTTATTTAATTAACTCCACTTACAAATCACTCAATGACTAAAGAATAAGAGAAACAAATCATACACATTTCATATAATTGCAGTATATTCGTATAAACTTAACTTGCATAAAGTAAAATTGCAATTGTTCTTTACAATATATATTGTAAACAATCCGTGCTTAATAATATCCACTGAAAGAATCAGAAAATTTTCATTTCTAAAACATTGAGCAAAAAATTATAGGCAATAATAAAGAAAATAAAGTAGATATAAGGCCAGTGTACCTGTACACGAGGATTCTGAAAATCATCCATTGCTCCAGCTAATGCTGGCAACACTCCTTGGTGATATTTAACTTGCAAATCCGGACCCAAATCAGTAGATAGTTGCCCAATGGCATTAATGGCTGCCCACCTTACACGGGGGTGTTGGTCAGGAAAGGAGTTTAATACCATGGCCACCACTTGTTCCAAATTTTTTATCATGACCTGTAGCAATCAAAAGAAGAAAATTAAAACACAGTAGCACACACTCACCCGAACACAAATATTTTTAAACAAAAATAAATAATTCATCACGATCAACTACAACTAACACATGTAGTTATTGCAACAGAGCAGACATCTCCAATGCATACCTTCGAGCAGCCTTCAGCTATCTGAGCAAGTGCTATAAGTGCAGCATGGCGTTTTTGCCATTCCGGAGCGGCTAAGTAAGCGGGCAACTGTTCAGAAGCAACCGGAACAATGGTATTTCCACCCAACGATATAGAGAGCCTATCCAAGCACTCTTGCCCCACACTGTAATTACTGGTTTCACCAGCATCCTCATCCTCTGTCTCGGCACTGTGCCACGCAGGATCGTCCTCGATATCAAGAAGCATCTTCATGAGTATTGCAAACAACCTACTAATAAACTGCGGCAACTTCCTCATCATTCCAGGGGCACGCTCCCTTGCCTCGGCGAGAGTGATCACAAACTCAATCGCCAAATGCCGAGTTCCCTCCTCTAAGGACTCGGCCTCGGCAATCTGCAACATGGCGCCAACGACATCCACAAGCTGCCGCCGCAAAAACCTTGGCTCAGTGCCCGCGAGCTCGATGAGAAGCTCGAGCGCCTCTTGAGCAGTGGCCTCTTGGCCAGAATTAAGAGCCTCAGTCAAAGTGCGCATCATTGCGGGCAGCAGGTCCTGGAACCGGTCACGATCGGCGGACCCGGAGAGGCACTGAATGAAATTAATAACAGCATTAAGCGCAGCAATTCGGACATCAGGATTAACGGATGGATTGGTGAGGCACTGTAGGAAGATATCATGAAGGTGCTTGATGTGAGGAGTGAGAGAATCGCCGATGTACTGCGATAGCTGGGCGAAGATTAAGAACGCAGATTCCTGAAGCTTAGGGGAATCGGAAGACACGCACTGGAACATGAAAGGGAGAAGTTCCGGCCAATCGTTATCCGGTAGAATTCCAGAGGCAAGTTCGGATATGGTGTCGCAAAGTTTCTTGGAGATTGATTTGGAGTTCTCAGTTTGAATCGAGGAGAGGAGGAGCGATTTGAGGGAGGACTGCGTCTGTGGAGAGAGGCGAGGCCAGAGGTAGGAGTCATCGCGAGTGAGCTGCTTCCGGAGGAGGATTGCGGACATGGCACGTCCCTCGTGGTGAGGCGATGAGTGGAGGAGGTGCGCGAGCTTCAAAGAGAGGTTATCGGGATCATTTTGTTTGCAGAGGTTGAAGAGAGTCTCCGCGTGGGAACGCTGCTCGTTGGAGGAAGACATCAGGTGCGAGATCAGCGTCTCGAAAGCAGTTGGATCGGCACCGAGGATGGCGGCCACCTGCGATTGCTGCACCCCGGGATCCATGGCGGCTAGGAGAAAAAAATGAAGATGATAAGGGGCGACAGAGCACGCGAGGTTAGGGTTTTTGATTGATGATGAGAGAATTGCGTCGCCACTCTCTTCTCCCTCGGGGTGTGTGAGTTTGTGTGTCCTTTTATATATACTACTGCTGCGGGTGTGGGGAGTTTGCTGTATTGTGTTGTTACTTGTGGTTTATTTATGGATGGTAATATTAGTGCCAAAAGGGTTAGGTTACCGTGCACAGGAGTGGGGGCTAATTAGGACAACCACATATTTTTATTAGCTGTGTTTTTTTTCTTCTAAGTCATCAATCATCATTAGCCTGTGCTTTTTTGTTCTTCTTTTTTCCATGCTTAAATTTAATTTATTACATATATTTATGTTTAAAATACCTAATGATTGGTCCTTTTAACTAAATTAATTTAATAGTTTAAAGGGTTAGTTTAGTTGTAAACTTCTTTTTTATTTTGAGAGATATTGGATTTTGTAAATGGTTTTTGGTGTTGACCATTTTTTACCTCTTCTATTCTTATATTTTTTAATGTTCATTCCCTTAAAAGTTACTTATAAACATTAAAGTTGTTTTTAATGCATGATTATACTAATCAATAAAAATCAAAACATTTCATAATCTTTTATGAAAATTTTCAAATATTTCTATACCATGATGATTATAAAATATAATAAATAAAAAATTATGTCCTTATATTTTATGTATGTCAATTACTTTTCTAAATAATCTATTATACTAATTATATATTTTTAATTAACTTTTAATTTTTACTGTCATAAAAAATAAGAACGCATACTCATTGATGCATGTACTTCCAGTTGTATTTTTAATAAATATTAATATATTGTAAATTACAAATAAAGTACAATTAAACCGTAAAATAATTTTCAAATGTAATAATTGTGTTGTTAGTTAGTAGTTAATTAGCTATAAACATGCATATTGTATTTAAATATAATAAGTTATTTCCGTTAATGTTATTCGGGGGTTTTAGTCTTAAAATTATCAAATTTTATAATGAATTCAACTTGATAGTTTTCTTCTTCTTTCTTTACCAGGTGTTAAGGAGATTTAATCTCTTGACTTGTTCTTTATCTAAAGAAATTTAATTTATAATGATTGTCTAAAAGAGATGGATGAATACCGTGTTATATATTAAAATATGATTCATTCCTAATCTAATATACATTGAATTATTAAGAAACTCAACTTATTGTTGTATAAAGACATGGATGAATATTGTATTGTATATTAAATATGATTCATTTCTAACTTAATATATGTTGAATTATTATGTTGATACGTACTTAATTTATTCTTATTTCGTCATCAAAATATTACACAAAGAGACTTAATTATATTGGCCTATGATTTAAGTCAAAATTTAAAACGGTCCGAGTTCATCTAGACAAAAACTCAAACTATAAATATAAATAACATATCTCACCAAATAGATTAATTAAGGTTATTAATTACTTTATTTGTTATTTTTTTATATACTATACTAACTTTGGATGTCAAAGTTTTATGTGTATAACTCATTTTCATCTTAAAAAAACGAATACTCAAGACAGTTATAAGTAGTCCATAAATTGAAAGTTAAAAATGTTTAAAGTATATTTAAAAGTTTTTATATATACATATTTGATTATATAAAAACAAATACATTTTCCTTTTGCTTATGATATTTTGTTATTTTGTAGGCATATGTGAGACATTGGGACTATTTTGTAATAAATTAGTTTGGGAATTAATGTTAAAGTAACATTAACAAATTGACCACGTGAATATAGGAGTACAACCATACTTAACAAATTAGAAACAGAAGATTTTTTAAATAAGTTATATTGTATTTGTCCTACAAACTCTCTTGGTCTCTATACTTACATATCATGCAATCATTTTGGTTTTTCAAATGGTGTTTACTAATATATAAATAAATAAATGAGTATTGCAATTATAAGATTTATGGACATGTAGAAGTTGAAATGCACTAAGGAAAAACTAATAAAATATTGAATAGATTAAAATATAAATAAATATATAATTCCTGTTTAAATTTTATTAGTTTTACGTGAATAACTATGAGCTGTTTCTTATTACACCTTCCTGTTTCTATTTTCGCACCCCATAAATATAGTGAAATAATTGTTTTATCCTCGCTTTCTTCCCTTTTGTACAACCTTATACTGATGATGGTGATTCTCTCCGTCTCCATTGCAATAGCCAGATCCACCATGAAAAGGAATGAGAAGAAGAATTGTTGGGGTGCGGGAAGAAGGAAAAAAAAACGTGGGGTGGGTTTAGGAGAAAGGAAAAGAAGGAGCCTATGACAAATTTACAGTAGAATTACCATGATAAATCCTTTCCTTCCTCTCGCGTCTTCTCTTCTCTTCTTTTTTCTTTTTCTTTTTATTCTTTGAAATCCTCTATTGCATTTCTCATAATCTCCAGTATTCGTTGGGATTGGATGTAATGACCTCACTGTGATGTAATTTTCATGCTCAATATATCGTTGTTTGTTCATATGCTCTTTCTTGAATTTATTATCATTGTACGAAAATATTATGTTATTTGAATGTCTTTAATTACTGGAAAGTAACTTTGAACATGAACGTAGATAGAGCACTTAAGTGATTTGGGATCTAGGGATAGACTCAATAACTTGATCATTCTTAACATGGGACTTAATGCAAATTGTATATTAAATTGACTAAGGGATTATCATTTTAATATATTAATTTAGAACTAGTTGCTAAGGGATTAGGACTAGTATGCCTTGATGTGAATGTTTGAATGAAGTAATGAAATATTGAACAGAGTTTTTTATATTCATATGATTCATGAAACCCAATTCCAACGAAATTTCTTTAAAATATAATTCCTTGCACACCAACTGTTTGATAAAAGTACCAAAAAGAGTTTCTTGTGTTATTTTGTGCATTTTAATGTCTAATTGAGTTATAAACGAAAGAATTGTCATGTGTTGCACAAGTCTTTTGGGAGAACGATACTTTTACTTATTCATTGTATTACTTGAAACGATTTGGTATGCTTGCCAAAAAGTTAACAATTTGGTGAAGATCATTATCCATGAGTTCGTAGACCAAGTAGACATCCTTAAAACTTGTCCTGCGGATTGGCATCATGACATATTTCAAAGCAATGACATTCTCGTGCCGAATGTGTCTAAGCAACTTCAGTTCCCTCAAAGTTCTCAAAGCATCAATAGAATTCTCAAATATATTACCAATCTTCTTAATTGCAATTCTGTCATTGGTCTCACGATTGATGGAAGAGCACACCACGCCATATGCTCCGCGACCAATAGGCTTGATTGGAACGTACTTCGTATCAATCTCAAACAAAGTTTGCCATATTGTATAATAATGTTTTCCCTTTGGCTTAATCCTGTTTGGTGGTTCAACTAGAGTTGGCATTTCCTGCAAATCAACACCACCACAATATATTCTCAACAAGTAAACACACAGAGGAGACAAAAGTAATAAGCTCACAACTATAACAGTAAATTCATCTGTCAAAATTTGCACTGCCAGAAGAAGGAAATTCGCATAGCGCACCATTACCTGTGCGCTGAGCGAATAGCGAATAACATTAGTTAAAGTGCAGCAGTTAAGAAAATTCGTATAGCGCACCAGTACATGTGCGCTGAGCGAATTAATGAAGTTAAGTGACTTTAAAAGAGTGACAGAAAGACAGAATCATTCTTCTGACAGAAGTTCCGGACAAAAGAAAGAAACGAAAACATCTCAGGAACTTCCGGAGACTACTTCAAGGCATCAAGACACCATTGTTGCAAGAGATTGCTTCAAATGTGTACGTTTTAGATGACTAGTTACTACTTTCCATCCACTCGACAAGGACTCACTTTTAAGTCTAGTCTACTTACTACCTACGACAAAATTAGATGATGATATTTTAGCTCTTAACGGTTTCTGGTTTTAGAATTTATTAGATCCTTCCATGGATGACTGTATCTAGTACTATAATGCTCTTTTGTTTCTTTATAAGGCACGAGGTTGTCAGTTTTCAGTTAAAATAACGGTTTAACAGATTTCAGGCTATTACCGGCCCTAAAAATTCAAAATATTTTACTGATATATATACAAACCAAACCCTTCCCTCCTCGTGAAGACTCCCATTCTCCTCCCATTCTCTGATCTTAAAGCGGCACATTCTCTAATCTGAAAGCGGCACACCCAAATGGGAAGAAGTCCTAGAAGAAAGTTAAAGATGGCCCTCAGAAAGCGAGAATTGTACGGAGTTCTTAAATATATTGTTGAACGAAGAACCATCACCGCCGGGGAGCCCAGCCTCTCTTTCCCTTTCCTCCACCGCGACGTTTCAAACTCTGA